TAGCCTTTAAGTTCTTGTTCCTGTCCGGAAAACGCCGCAAGAACCTTCCTCCTAGCCCACCTTCTCTTCCCATAATCGGCCATCTGCATCTCTTAAAACATCCCACCCACCGTGCACTTCGCGACCTGTCTAACAAGTATGGTCCAATTATCTCCCTCCAGATGAGATCTTACTTTGCTGTTATTGTCTCCTCAGCATCACTAGCTGGAGAATGTTTCACAAAAAATGACGTTATTTTGGCGAATCGTCCGAAGTCACTCAATGGAAAGCATTTAAACTACGATCACACGACCGTAGCGACGGCATCATACGGCGACCACTGGCGCAACCTCCGTCGTATCACTTCAATTGAAATCTTCTCCTCCAGCCGCCTCAACAAGTTCCTCGGGATACGAATGGACGAAGTCAGGCAGTTATTGTTGAAACTATCTCGCAATTCACGTCAAGACTTCGCGAGAGTGGAGCTGAAACAAATCATCGTTGACTTGACATTTAATAATGTCGTGAGAATGGTGATGGGAAAGCGATATTATGGTGAGAACGTGACTGATTATGAAGAGGCAAAGCGGTTCAAGGACTTGATAGCAGAGGCAACACAAATTGCTGGAGTAGGGAATGCTGCAAAAGCTTTCCCAATATTGAGTTGGATCACGAATCACGAGAAAAAAGTTATGAGTATTGGTAAGAGAACCGATCGTTTCTTACAGGGGTTGGTTGATGAGTACCGTAGCAAGAAAGGGGGAGACTCAATGATTGATCATCTTCTTTCTTTGCAAGAATCAGAGCCTGAGTACTACAGTGATCAAATCATAAAAGGACTTGTTCACACTATGATTTCTGCAGGAACAGAAACATCTGCTGTGACATTAGAATGGGCAATGTCTAATTTACTAAACCATCCAGAAGTAATGAATAAGGCTAGAGAAGAGATAGACGCTCAAGTGGGTAAAGAAACGCTGATGGAAGAATCGGATGTTGCAAAGCTTCATTACCTTCAAAGTATCATGTGGGAGACGCTTCGACTTCACCCAGCAGCACCACTACTCGTCCCACATATGGCGTCTGCTGACTGCACAATAGGTGGGTATGATGTACCACAAGGCACAATGGTGTTGGTCAATGCATTTGCCATACACCGGGATCCAAAGTCATGGGATGAACCGGAAAGTTTTAAACCAGAGAGGTTTGAGAAGGAAGAGAAGGAGAGCCATAAGCTCCTACCATTCGGATTGGGAAGGAGAGCTTGTCCTGGGGCAGGGTTGGCCCAACGAGTGGTGAGCTTGACTTTGGGGTCCATGATTCAGTGCTTTGAATGGAATAGGGTAAGTGAG